ACACCAGCCTCCATCACTGACTGCAAACCCATCCTCATGAGCTCACTTGCACTGCTGCTTCTTTATTTCTTCATTAATATTACCCTCCAGTGCTAGCTACAGATCTTTTTTCTTCTCATTTAAACAGAAGGTAAATAGATTATTTATAAAGCACTATGTAAAGGCAAAGGCATTACACAGCTTTTGCAGAACAAAAATCCTCAAGTGTTCCTTGAACACCTGAAGCTTGAACACAACCACCACGCTCATTTTTCTTCCTCTTCTCATTCTACAAGAGCTCTATTTCACTCTTTGGACTAATCTGCTTGCCAAGTATCACAACAGAAACAACGGCATCTTAATTAAAAATAATCAAGGAGAGATTGGATGATTTTGCATTGAAAAGGTGAAAGAGTTCCAGGAAATCCCCCAGTTTACTGAGAGACTTATTTGCAGGAATAAAACCACCTTAAAATCACCTACACATTCACCTACCTGCACTGAGATAGGTTCCAAGACCTCATCTGCATCAAATTAGCTGAGAGTTCATCCAGACCAAGCTCTAGATGGGATAAAGGGATAGGAAAAGGCTTTTCCAAGCAGCTGCCTCCCGTCCTCCTGGAGAGGCAGCAGCACAACTCCCTGCAGCAGGCGCTGAAATCAGACTGTGCCATTGGAAAATGATGAACCTGAAGGTGGCCGCAGCACGAGGGAGGAAACTGGTGCATAATTAAAGAGTTTGGTGATAAATATTAAAGGCCCTTGGAGCTCTGCAGAGCTGGGAGGATCCAGTGAAGTCCTGCCCGCCCTTCCCATGAAGGTCACTGCTTAGCTCCTCAAGCTTTTCCTCCAGTCCAAACAAACATCACTACTTGCAACCACAGTAAAGCAGGAAGGTTCCCAAACTGCAGCAGCTTTAAACCCACTGTTGTGTCTTGAAAATATTCACCTTCATTTCACAGTCAACTGCCACAGGAATCCACTCCCAGCTTTAGGGTGCAAACACGCAGAGGATGTGTGGGAGTACTTCCGAAGAAATAAACTCCTGAATCACAACCCTATGATTGAACCAATGCATTAAAACCATCAATAAACCCTTCCAAACACTCCTTCCAAGTGAGTTTTGTAGTGTATGGAGAGGCAAACGCAGCACCATTCTGTCAGCTTAAAGGCTCTCCTAGTGAGAGCTCTTTGGTGAGAGGCTCTTAAGTACCACCCAGACCTGCAGTCCCACATACTCACGTAACCCTGTACAAACCTTACCTAGCAAAAGGACAATAAGCTATGGAAAACGAAGATGCTCAGGGCATCTTCACTCCTGAATCTCGTAAACATCTTTAAGATTAGCAAATAGCAAGATGTTTCTTTAGAAAAGCTACAAAATTCAAGAGGAAAAGGTTAACATAAAAGGCAGACGTGTTATTTTTCAAGGCTATGGAGGAAATTCTTCTTGGCTCAGTTAGGAAGAAAGTTGTTATTTATACAGCCCATCCTTCAGCTTACTTTGGAGAACTGCTGGTCCAAGTTACTGCAGCTTGGTGAGGAAAACATATATGGGGCTGTTTCATACAAGACTGACATCCTGAACAACCCAAACAGGATGAGAAACAAACCCCTCATGTGTTCTATGCCAAACAGAGAATCCAGATTAATAAAGTAAAACTAGGATGGAGAGATGATCCCCACGGAGCTGTGGGCTTGACTGACACCACCCTGTAGGGACTGAGAAGTTCCTAATCCCACATCCCAACTTGGTTTGTGCTCTATTGCACACCCTGTTTGATCATTCTTCCTTAGATGAAGAGGATACACTCTTCATGGCAGATATTAGGAATTTCTTGCTTGGTTTGCTATTTCCATGTTAGATTACCATTCATAGGATTACTCCAGACATTCCTTTTTATTTTAACCCCAATGTGAACAACTTCAAGGACTCCACAGCATCAGGAAAAGAATCAACCAATTTGGGAAGAATCTTCTTATCCTTTCAATTAAGGCCTGTGTCTTTTTGAGGCCCCATAGACTCGTGCTTCAGTACAGCCTACCATGTATTTGGGACACTTTAGTACATTCTATCTGTATTGATAAGGACGTATTTCCCACTGGAAGAAGCACCACTACCAAGCATACACGAACTGTTAGTTGTTGCAACAGCAGAGTTTCAGTGACTGCAACATGCTGCTTTGTAACATAAATGAAGTAATCTTGTATAATACAGGAATAGGAGAGTATTTTTATCTGTGCCCCAAATAACCACTGAATTAAAAGGGTGATGCAAGTTCCTCCTTCCAAATCGCTGCCTGCATGTTGCTGAAATGCAGTGGTGCTTGCAAGCAAGACCGAATGAGTATCTTGTACAATTCAAGGAGGAAGCCACTAACACTGAGCTTTGGACCCTCCTAAATCAGCTTCTGCATTGCCAGAAGGACTGTTAGTTCTCTAGAACAGAGGCTTTTGCAAATGGCACCCAAATTATCCCACAATGGGGGCTTTCAGACTTAGCAAGCAGCATCTTAAAATAACTGAATAGATCAGAGGAGTGAATGAGCCAAAGAACAGAGAGTTCCAGGTAACTTTGTTCCTCTTCACTACTTAAGAAAGACCACTCAACGCTCATTTCCTCAGCAAACAAGTACCTTTTTCATCCTAGCTATGAATAATACTGTAGGGACACTTCCAAATGGATAAGGCAAAAAGAGCCCTAGGAAGTCTGTTTTAAAGCATGAAGCCTGACACTACTAAATCAAAGCCATCGTCAAGCTGAGATTTAAACACATCCCAAACATGCATTATGCAGTGCAGACACTTGCCTTCATCCATTTTCACACAAGAGAATTCAGTTTTCTTCATGCACAGGAGCTAAGTTGGCACACCTACGCTACCACTGAATTCCAGCAGGAAAGGGAAGAACCTGGGGTACCAACAACCAACCCAAGCAGAAACCTGGGGCTTTTCAATGTGGAGCAGTTCACAAGAGGGCTGCTTCCACCTGCTGGAGATGGGAAATATTAGTGTGAGACCCTACCGCTTTGGGACCAGGACAGTGATGGTTCGGGGGACCAGCTCTGATTTCACCCAAACCATACACCCCCACACACACAGCACAGGTAGGCTTGCTGCTGACAAGATGTCCATGTGTTAACCAAAACTGAATATGCAAAGATCTCAAATCCTTTAAAATACCAAAAAAAAAATCTACCAAAAGACAAGAAACTGTGACCTAAGATACATGCAGGGCTCCTTAGGGGAAGCATGCAGAGATGCTCCTTGCTTTTACGTCCATATGCACCCATCCCATGCTGTGTCGCTGTTGTTTTCCCCTTTGCTCTACAGGCACTAGTGGAATATTGAAACTACTTCCCCAAACACCACCACTGAGCTTCCCCTCTCCCATTATGAGAAACACCTCTTTTATTGGTAAACACCTTTAAAACAAGATTTGGCACAATGTGATTGTGTCTGGCAGTGCACTGTGTCAGCACTGCGCTGAGCCAGCACCCGAAGCCACCTTCCTCTCCTCTGCAAGCAGTTGTAAGGACACTTACATTTAATTCCTTAATGATTAGGAATTAAAGACCAGAAACTTCATTCAGCTTCCAGGAAGACAATCTCTTTATGTCACCCTGTTTTCAGTCCATGCCCAGCTGCCTAAACCAGTCAGTGCTGCAGCTGTGTTACTGCAGTCACCCCAACGCGTGTGGTTTACTGCATCGACCTGTCCAAGCCCCACACCACCCCTTGGACAGTACAAGTGACTGAGCTGCTTTTATGGGATGCCATGGAAGTGAAAACCAGTTGCATGCAAATAGCACACCAGGCAATGCATGCTGAACCCCGCTTCAAAACAGCCCTGAAACACACACATTATAAACCCAGGATTCATTATAAATCATTAAGTTATCTCCCATTTTTCTTCTAACTGCTGTTGTGTAGATTTTATCATCAGCAATTAGAATAATTACATGCAAGCTTGCAGCAGCAGCAGATAAGCATAAAACATAGTAAATCTAAAGACATCTGAGGAGAGTTACCCCTTCAATGAAAACCACATTGCAACTCCAGTATATAAGCATCTTAAACATCCTTTTCCAGCCCATAAAGACTCTTCAGACTTTCTGTACTATTTATATTGCTTTTTCATCTGAATTTGGCAACATAAGGGTATATAATCTCACACACCCTCCTCCTGCCTGACTTGGGCTCTGGTATGCAATGAAACACAGGCTAACTCACCAGACAGAGCTCTTCAAATCAGCTTGAGGGAGTCTGATACCACACTCCCTGAAAGTCCTTAGGAAAAAACCACCCAGACTGCTCCTGTATCAGCAGCATTCTTGGATCTGCTAATTGCTGGGGATTAATGAATCAAACAGAACTGCTATTTTGAGACAGAAAATAACTACTGAAGATTCAGACCAACTCAAGACCACATTTTTCTCCCCGGCTATACGCTTTAAAAGCAGCCACTCACCCAAGACTACAAGTAGTCACACATCAAAATACACTTTAAGCCACAGCAGTACCTCAAAAAACACATTATTCTTAAGGAGTACCAGACATTTCTCTTGCCATGAGCAGCAATAAGCTGCGGTGGCTTTCCTGCACATGAGAAAGTGACACCTGAATACCAGGAAGCACTGGAGATGGTATCATTCAGACTAAATTACACCCGTGTGTGGTGTAATTACATCATCAATACACTGTGCAAGGAACATTCTTCATCCTTGACATCGGTCTGCACAGCTGCTAAAATAAATTCCAACCTCACCTATCATGGTGGTTTTGGGGGTGATTTAGGCCATTGTATGCTCAAGACCACAACAAAACTCCCAGCCTCTTTCAGAGGAAAACCAGCCAAGTGCTGTGACACTGACGTTCCCGACTCAATTCCTGCTAGCACAGGTTTCTGCATTTTTCTGGCAAGCTCAGCCATTTCGGAGACTGATAAGATCATACCACAAAGAGATCTAATTAACCCAGTGGTTTTAATTTCAGCCATGAAAATCAGAACAGCAACTTACTGGGGTCTCGACTGCTGTAGGGCCATCCTGAAGCAGGTAAGAACGATGGCATTGGAGAGCTTGCCCTGCTGTCCTCCTCCACTTGCTGTGTGATATGCCTCACAGTGTCTTTGTTTTTCCTGTTCTTCCTGCGTCCCGTGGGCTGCCAGCCATCCCCTACTCCTTGCTCTGAGAACACAGTCTGTATTGCACTATCCTTGCCAGAATGCAGTTCACTCCCTCCGTAATGCGACGGCGAAACCTGTTCCTCCTTGATCCGTAAAGAGCCATAGCCCATGTCACTAGACCAAAGAGACTGGGATGAAATGTCTTCGTGGCCGTCTGGTTTTGGTTCTTGATCCTCTTTGCCATAGCTGCTCCCTCCTTCATGGCAGCTGGCAATGGCTGAGTCTCCAGACGAGTTCGCAGGGCTCGTGCGCCGCGCTAACCAGGGAGATATACTCCTGCCAGCCACCACTGCTGAAATCAGAGCATCCGTACTGCTGCTGGAGGGGGCTCCAAGCTCATAATCAACGAGGTCATCTGAAGCATCAGACTTTATGCTTATGTCAAGAGCTGCTTTGATGAAGTTGTGACAGGCCTGGACAATGTCTGTCATCTGCAGGTAACTCGCAGCTGACATCACCTCGATGACGTTGCGGCTGGTCAGCGCGAGGTGTGCAGAATACATGAAGTCAATGATGGCTTTAAAGCCTTGTGCAGTCACGATGTCCAGGTGGGTGACAGTGGCCTGGTCAGAGGTTTTCTGTACCTGGCAGTAGAGTGTTTTGAAGTAACGACTACTCCCAAGCAGAACGTTTTTGTGAGCCTTAAATATCTTCCCCTCCACTATGATGCAGACGTCGCAGAGGATGCCGTGCTGCCTCTGCTCGTTCAGCTCCCGCAGCAGGTGCCGGTAGTGGGACGCGATCTCCATATCTTCCTTGCGGTTATTCATCTGGAAATCTTTGTGTTTCCTCTTCCACAAGTCCTGCAGGGGGGAGGAAATGACAGGATTTCAAAATCCACTACAAGCTGACAGAGATTTTCAAAGACTGAGACAAACCCCGAGCTGTGCCGAATCAAGTAACCAGTTCATCCCGAAAGGATGCCGCAGAACACAGGCACTGCCTGGAAACACCACACATTCATTACATGATGCAGCTTCTTTTCACCAGACTTCAAATCATTTATGTTAAAAAGGAGATTAGATTTGAAGCTCAGTCCTCCAGTGGCTCATAACATCCCAGAGAAACGCTTCTTTAAATGACTACAGACTCGCAAGCAAACCTGTCTTAAGTTACTTGGGCGAAACAACTGTCAGTTTTTACTGCTGGAGTTCAGTGAAGTTTGGGGCTGAAACTGTGCTGATGGAGACAAACTGCTGAGGAGCACTCCGTAACACAAGGGAACAAGTATTATGTGCAACACACTGAACAGATGAAGCCCTCCAACAGCAAAAGCCAATTGAAACCAGGCCCTGCCCTCACTATATTGCTGTGGAGGGGCTATAAATACAATGCAAGGCAAAAGAGCAACAAGCAAATCCAAGACTACAGATCACAAAATGGGAAGTCCCCACTCAAACTAAACTGGCAATACATGAGAACTGTGAAATTAATGTTATTTGAGGCTGAACTGCTTATAAGCACAAGATTTTTAACTTGGCAATAAAGCACGTTATCTCCTTGGCTTTACATCTCCAAGTTTACCCTACAACCACCCCAAGATACTGTAGAGGACAGAGAAATGCTAATGATCACCCGAACATTCATGTTCAGAAAGGATGCTTGTGACCCAAACAACAACGCATCCACCAAGCCACAATGAATTCTGATCACCTCTCATAAAGTTTGGCACTATTATTCAAACAAAGGCTAGTTAGTGCCAGCAGCATGGCAAGTATCTCATACCTTGTAAGTTATACTCTGAATTACCCTCCTCTTACACCCCAAAACAAGAGAAAAAGTGGATTATGTTGATTCAGATTGAATTTTACCCCACCAGCAAAGTACAAACACAAGAAAAGTAACACATCAGTGCTGATTTCTGCCATTTTATTTAGCTTAGATCACTTACTTGGGACTTGCCCTTAAGGTTTCTATACTGTTTAACAGTGATTTAATGGTGCAGCTAATCAGGAGCACTGAGCTGCCACACAGTGTGAAGGACACCAACTCCTTCCTCTCAAGAACTTAAACTTGTTCCAGTATAAGAAGTCCCAGCTGTAAAATTAGCACATGTGCCCACATGTCATACAATTGGTTTCTGCTGACAAGACCAAATCTGAACGTAATTATGGGCAAGCCCATGCACCACAGCCTGGATTTGGGCTGCTGGTGGTTGCTGATGAAACCACAATCACCGCACTTGTGCGGCTGCACCACCTCAAAGCACGCAGAGTTAAATGTAAGCACTGTCATTAAGAGGCTGATGTGTGCTTGCAGCAACTTTCTAATATACGTCTGGTTCAAAGCCCAAATTCAGGCCCATCTGTATATCACCTCACTGCAGTCACGACAGAGAAAGTGTCTTGACATGTGCAAGTGGGTTCCTGTGCTGGGGAATGCATTCTGTAAGACCTCATTCCTCCTTCCTCCTAGTCTGTGCCAGTGTCATCGTCTACAGGAGCACAACAGCTCCAGTTCAGCCCACACCACTGGCTGGAAAACCACCTCTCAGCCCACAGAACAGAGATGACACAAGGACCTTTCTTCTAGAGCCACCTCACGAGTGAAGAGTTCAAGTTATGCAAGATGCCTGCACAAGCATCTCCAGTTCCACAAGAATGGAGCTCTTCAGCACTGTCACAACTGCTCATTTACAAGACCGGCTGGTCCCTGGTCACTGAGAAGCACTTGCTTCTTCAAGAGAGGAAGGACCATGTTCCTGCACCACAAACAGGCTGAACCCCTGTTTATTATTTCAAATCCATGCAGCTTTTCTATGGAATTAAGCAGAGTGCACAAAGAAGCTCATCTTATTTCTATTTGAATTGGAAGAGGTCAATAATAGAGCAGCTCTACTTTATCTGAATGCTACTTACTCACTATTGAAATCTGCCCAAAGACCTCAAATCGAGCTCTCACACAGAAGCCTCAAACACATGAAACACATCAATGCAAATCAATCCAAGAATTAAAAACCCTCAGCCTAAAGAACTGATTTTCCAAGTGTTTGGCCTGAGAAGGCTGCAATGGAACCAGCAGCTCTCACCCAGGCACGGAAGGTGGCTGCCACCGCTTCCCAGCCTCCTCCCTGGTGGAGAGAGCCACCTCTTAAGCCAGAATGACAGTTCACTCTTGTCTCTACTCCAGAAACCACTGCTGTAGCTACTTTTAGGAGTCGAGGAGTCAGCTTAGTCCCCTCAGGAAATATGAACTGCCACACTGGATAAAGCACGTTGTCCATCACCAGTCCTGCCTTCAACAGCTGCCAGATCCCCATGGTTCAGAGGAAGAGGCAAGAAAACCTCAGAGCATACAATTATGGAGCCAGCAGAAGGTTCAGATATGGCATTTCATTTTGCTGTCCCTTCAGAGGCAGCAAAGTCCATATTCCAAGACAACAACTCCCTAGAATTAGTTTGGGGCTGGGGAAATCTCCGACAAGGATAATTTTCTCTTCCTCAGTTTCATACAGATGGACAAACACTCCTTTACCCCAATGTCTTCACTCACTTTTGTGAGTTTAAGCAACAGAAGCTTTTCCTCTTGCATGTTTTTCCACCTGGAAATTACACCCATTCCTTGAGATTTTATTTACATCTCATGGTGGTGAGATCCCACAGCCCTTGTGCTGCACTTGCCCACATCGCCAAGGACACTGGGGACAAGAGCAGAGGGTGGGTTGGTACCTCTGGGGCAAGAAGCAAAAATACTTGACATTCTAAAACATGAACATAAAACCCCAAGTAAAACCAACACCAGTATGTGCTCCTCCATGCAAAGGGAAGACAACTCATCCTTGTTCCAAAGTACTTGAAGAGACAGAGACATGAATGAGAAAGACACCCACGGAAGAGCAGCACCCTCTCCATGGAGAGGCACAGTATCACACAGCAGTGCTGTGGATGTTCCTGTGTTCAGTCCAACCAACAAAGTTTAACGCTTTCCTAACCAGCAATACTTACTGTAGATGTCTTGATCTTCCCCTCTCTAAAGGTCTGTTACTTCATACCCATCGTTCCACATTCAGCATCTGTCACAGCACTGCACCTCTCCAATGCGAGGTCTTTGGGGGAGAGAATTAAATATGCCTCCAATTCAGAGGAATTAATTAGTTTTCTGTCTACCCATGTCAAACCAGAACATCCGTTTAATGTCAAGGATCACCAGGGAATTAATCCAAGTTAAATTTAAGGCAATTTGCTAGTAGTTAAGAATTCAGGAAGCTTCAAAAGCCTGCGCTCTCGTGTTCCAAATTCACATGCTGTTTTGTGGCTTGTTGTTGGGTTTTTCTTCCCGTTTCCTGGTAATGATATTTATCTCCACTTAAAACATGTTATGGAAAGATTCCTTCACCAAAGTAGCACCCTTCAAACTTCCACTGGAAGCACTGTGGAAGACGGAATAACTGCAAAGATTGTTTAGACACAGACCTCAAAGATCAACGACATATTTTGGGGTTTATCGCAGGTCTTTTTAGGACACTGAAGGATCTCAAAGTTCAGCACCTACTAAAAGCTTTCAGCCTGGGCCAGTGCTGACAGCACACGGCCACAATGCAGCTTTCCAAGAAGCCAATGAGCCGTGAAAGCTCATCTGTAGGTTTTCCACAAAATAAATGGCAGCACATCAGCCTTTCTTCCTAAGTCAGTTCACAGACAGCACTGCGGCTGCTGCCTCTCCAAAACCAACTAAACCAACCCCCCGTCCCTAAACAAACACCACTTGCACGTAACAGCGAAAGGAACAAAAGAAAACAGATTTAATCATCTCTTTCATGCAAACTTCTGTCAAGGTAGAGGCCAGCTTTTTCTTTCTCAGGTCATCAAAACCCTGCTCTTCAAGTAAGCATTAATAATTCAGCTAATCTTGAAGCCTGGTTGGAATGAACCTCATTCTACAAACACAACAGCCACGAAAACTGTTTATTTTGCACTATCAGTACAGTTATTTGGACATGAAAATATCACCTGGTGACATAAGAGTCTAAATAAATACAGTCTTCACCTCCTGTTGGAAAGGTTTAAAAGGAATAGCCAGTACTTAACAAAGCCAACTGCTCAGAGCAAGTCCCCACAGTAAGTCTCCTGACCCAGATGTGAACAGCAGTAAAATTAAGGGGTAGAAATGTGTTGTATCTAAAGCTCAGTGCGTTACTCGGGTTCAGACATAAAGCCACTTGCAAGAAATGGAGGACACGCACAAAAGTCCCTTCAGTGCAGTCCCCAGGGAAATAGAGGGGACAAAAATAAACTCCTTTTACTCAGAAAGAAAACAGGGGAAGGAAAATAAGGAAAAACCCCAAAGGACTGGAGAGGTTTTGGAGGGTTTCTTGTTTGTTTCCTATTTGCGCTCTCGGAACACAAAGGAACCCAAAATTCAACCTCCAAGACGTCTGTTACAACTTTCTAAACATGTTTCTACACTGAATAGTAGGGACACAAGTTACAGAGTACCAAAACACTCTTAAGTGCTCTCTACCAGCAGGCACCGTGTGCTCCCCAGGGAAAACATGCCAACTGGAATTTGACCAAAAATGTGTTGTTTCCTCCCCCTTCTCCCTTCGGAGAAAAGTAAAAACAGATCAAGGAAGAACTCCAGTTCACTCCAATGGTTTCTTACACAAAAAGGCAACAAACACACCCCACTTCCCTGCTTCCCCTCTGTCCATGTCTCCACTCCCAAGACATTCCAGCATTTTTTGAATTCCTCTGCAAAGAAGCTCTGTAAGGTGAGATCGGGCTCCAAACACCACCTCACACATGACAGTGTGTAACGAGTTTCACTTTTATGCATGTAAAGACAACAGATGCAGAGGATTCCTCTTGTCCATGTGCCCCGTGCTGACAGGAACAGAGAACAGGAACCCCAGTGTAACCTTAGCAACAGCAAAGAGTGGTACCTGCACTCACCCTCCTAAAGGGGAGGAGAAGCACAAGATTCGGGGTGTTAACAGGTAACTCCCAGTGATGACACTGCTCATGAGCTTCACGGTGCAAATCTCCACAAGCACAGTGTTTTCTCCTCCCAAGTGCATTTGAGGAAGAGCATTGAAACACCTCTGCTTAGCATTCTGTAGTAGTTACAGTCCAGAAAGGCTACGAGCAAAGTTCAAACAGCAGGAGCAGGGCAGCATCACATCTTCAGCAGCCAGAACACAGCAGCAAAGAAATCAAACTTGGGGCAGGAAGATATGTCAACTCCCCGTCTGCCCCAGTTAGACTTAGGCAGGAAACACAAAGCATTTTAGACCATATCATCAGTTTACAGCTGCTTTTACCATGAAAATACATTGATCCAGACTCAATTTGGAATTAAAAGAAGGCAAATTTGAACAAGGACACTTTAAACACTACACACTTCTAGTCCTGCATCACAGTGTTACAGCTTTGTTTCCACAACCCAAACACAAGCCACAAGCACAATCCAACTCCAATAAGCAGAACGTAAAATAACCAGGAGCCATCACGAAACATTTCACTCTCTACTTCAAAACCAGCAACTTGGCTTTGGCCTTTGATATCAAACCATCTACCTGAAGTTACAGGGCCAGCAGGGTGGAAAAGTTGGACACTACAGAAGTGCAGCCAAAAGACAGGATTTTGGAAAGGCTCTTAGGAAAATCCATTTATTAACCTTCAAGCAGCTCTGACAGCACATGAAGAAGTCCAAGAGAAAACCAGGTCTGAAGATGAAAGCTAAGGGAGGGCTGTTTGCCTCCACAGTTTGGAAGGAGGGCAATTGGTAATTAGGACAAGAAATTTAGAAACTGTGAAGTTAAAAATAGGAGGAAAAAAGGCAAAACCATACCAGAGAGGCACATTTTGCTATCGTGTTCTTCACGTCATAAGCAGTGGAGAGTTTTACTGATTTTGTTACAGAAAGCAATGTAAAATTCCATATTAAAAGAACCATCAATCACAATCCAAGACAATTACTCATTACCAGTAACAAACTGGGTTCCAGGTCTGGTGTTTCTCCTACAGCAGCTGAGGACATCAACAGCCCTAGGGCAGCACAGGTAGTGCACCAGTCTTTGACCTTCCGATATCACTGCTGGGACCTCTTGCAGGAGAAGGACAGAACTACAACAAAACCCAAAAGAAGAAGTTATGAGCATTAAACTACAAATTACTGAACTATGGTAATACATTTTGAAGGCTTTTCCCCACAAACCCACAGTTATAACACCCCTGTTTATGGCTTCACCCCCAAAAATGAAAGCATAGCAATACACTGCAGATAATTAAAGCCTGGTACCTTACTGCATTACTACAAACAAGAGTTATTTCTTAAAAGTATGAGAAAAAAGGTATCTAATTTTAGATACTAAAACTTCAAACAGGTCCTTGAAACAACAGGGTTTCCTGTTTGGTAGCTTTTCCAAACATTCTCACTTTAATGACTTTGGAAAGACATTTGTGGCCCGAAGGGCACTAATTCACCTTATCTGACCTATAAAATAGGAGGTTAAAAAGCTACTGAGGCAACACCTGAGAGAGGGTTGCAATGGAATAGTCAAAAGAATGTCTTCTTGACATGTTCAGTTGCCAGTTCCTCCTGGATGACACCATTCTGGGTGAAGAAATTAAATAATCCCAAGATTTTGAGAGACAATTCAGTGTGAAATACAGATCCTTAGGTAGTAAGGCACATTCCCAGATAAAACATTGATGTTTAGGATCAACAAGGTACCAAGATTAGAAATAGTTCATCCAAAGGGTTTTTTGTCTGTGAGGACACATCAGCTGTAACTATCGTCATGTCCATCTGGCTCTCCCATACAAACCAGACTTTATTTTCTTCAGAAGAACACATTCACTGCACTGGAAACATTTAAATTCAACTAAAACTTCTGACTGTGCTTTAGTCAAAGCTTTACACTGTTTATGCACTGCTGACCCCTCTAGCAAAGTGTCTGCCACGTATTTCTGATCTCTGCATTCAGATCTCTTCAATCTACAGATAAGCTCTTAATGAAAGTCAGTTATAAATCAATGCTGTTGATCTCACCTTCTGCAGTAACGGAAAACCTCAGAAGATAAAAATTAAGAAAGCTTTTCCAGTACAAACTGCTGTTACTGCAAGTGGGGAAATGAGTATCTAATACACAAACAGAGCATTAAGGCAAATCCAGGCATTCTTATGGCAACAAGCACAACTGTGAAAATCCTGACAACAAATATGACCCAGCCGAAGCAAATACCACTGAGCTTGTTCTCAGTGTCTATTTCAGACTGCCAAGTCTTGCCTTTCTCTGATTGCTTCTCCATAGCAATTGTTTTGGCTCCTTTTAGTCCTGTTATTTAGACAGTTAAAAAAACAAAGTGGGGGAGTGAGGGAACACATGGGAAATGACTTTGTTAGCAAAGGGTAAAAATAAGTGGTATTTTTCACTCAAACTTAGGGCTGTGACTGTTAAAACTCTGATCTACACCTCTGCCCCAGAGCCCAGAATAAGCCAGAACAGTCCAGTAAGAACAGCAAAGCTCAGACCTGCACTATTTTGCACTGCTCTGCATTTTTCCTTCTTGCTTTGAGCTCTGAACCTGCTTTCCTCTTGTAGTTGAACAGATGAGCATCAAGTGACCATGACTAACGGAGGCACCTCTGCTACAAGGTAGGAGCACAACAGCCAGAGGTATTCCTCCAACTTCCACAGCTGGGTAAGATTCCTAAAGGAATCCTCCTCTTTCTCTTAGCACATCACAAAGTATCTTTAAATGCTGAGCACTTACCAACAGTTGAAAATGTTTCCTGTTAGCAAAAACAAATGTCGCGATGTTTCACAGCTGGAGAGTGCATGTTTTAATGAAGAGAGGAGAATGGGCTCTGCTGACAACCTCCAAAGGGCTCACCAGACGTCCTGCATTTGGGAATGGGAAGAATAAGAGGCACAAATTAAAATCTAAACTGTAACTTCATATAAAAGCCTTCAGTGGCACGTAATTGCAAGCAGCACATTTACAACTTTGCCATTTCAAACAATATTATAATATATTTCTATCAATAAGCATAAAGGAGAACTTATTTTGCTTCTGTTAACTTAAAGAATTTAACATACAAATTTTAACACTATTAACACTCCTGTGCTTCCAGACACAAGTGCTTTGAAGAAGCCACTGTAAAATGATTCCATGATTCTACTTTATATGAGGATTTCAAACAATTTTAACAAGAAGACACAGAAAAAGATGCAACCACCCAACAGAAAGTAAGTTCTCATTTCCGTGCCTGTAAAAGCGATGCAGCCACAATACAATATTCCAGCCTGTAACAGTTTGCTTATGCAACAGGATGCACCTTTCCAACAGGGCACTAGGTGCACGTTTCTAGTTCAAAATGCTTGCAATAATGTTCCTGCTGCTCTTTCCATTTCCTCTGCATTTCCCTTCTTCGTTTCCCCATGACTTCCATCTCTGTCCATCTGCCTGCCTCACCATCTTCTCTCCACCACAGTACAGAAACAGTTGCTGCTATTGAAGGAACATGGAAGAGCCAACCAGTACCTAAAGAGCAAGAATCTTACAGGGTACCAGGCTCGAGGAGTCTGCTCATACCAACAACAAAGTAAGCAATTAGCTACAGATATAGCTGCTACTTCAGCAGTGAAGATTAAACAGCAACCTCAAAAACCCCAGGTGCCTGTGGCTGGTGCGACACTTACCAGTCCAAATGCCATTAACTCCTACAAGATCCTAAGCTGCCACTTAAAAGAGCATCACAAAAGAAGTCTGAGCAAAAGACTCTGCCCTTGTGCATCTATTACCAAAACCAAAACAACATAAAAAACACCTAAAAGAGGATTAAAGAAGTGTGATCATATCACACTGGGAATTGCCCTGAAAAACGCTTCCCCCCAAACTTTCACATTGGTTTCTGGCTTTTTAACTTGGGGATCTTTGTGTAAGTTCCCAAAGTCACTACGTGAAAAGGGAGGGAAGCAAAGAAAGAGGAAGAATCGTGAGGGAATTTTTAAAGGGAAGTATAGCCGTGGGAGCAACTGAGGGGAAGGGCACACAAGAGATGGAAAATGCACACAAGGAGTCAGGAATACCCTAGGAGTAAATATGTCAGCAAAACTAAAGAGAACACAGGAGGTGCTGTGTGTAACTCAGGGTACAAGCACTCAGTGCCTCGGGTAATATCCCACTTTCCTTTCAGTCCAAATCTCATAATCCAGATTTGATCAACTCTTATAAAAAAATAAAAAAGCAGCACAGTGAAGCCAAGAAGGACAGAGCAGCAATAAGAAGGAAGTCAGTAAGTGAGGGTTTTATCCAGCCCCCACCTCGTCCTCCAACCCTACAGTGGTGGGACTGTTCGGAGCACTCCATCCTGACTGCTTCCTTCACGGGTACTTCAATCAGCCAGTTTCAGGTTTGGGTATTTTAAGCACCTAATGGCTAATCCAGACCATTGATGCTTCTGTTTTGGAGCATGATTTGAGCACTGGTCAGAAAGGTATTTCCTCCAATGGTGTATTAGTGCAAAAGGTGCACGTTTTGGTTAACCCTTTCCTCACCCAGAGTGAGCCACCTACCTCAAGTATCCACTCCGAGTTGTTCTTCACAAGAAGAGAAACAGAGGAACCAAATTCACTTGGATGTATTAAGTTGGTTCAACACATGAGGAGGAAACAATTAGGAAAGATAACGAACATATACACAGCTACAAACACATTCCTTGCTATGCAAAACTCTACTTGCTTTTCTAAGCAAGGCTCTTAAGCAGCAAAGTTCCTGGCACACACTCCGACATCCTTGCTACAAGGCTTATTTTAATCCATACACAAGCTGTGTTTGTAGAATATTCCTGTCACCTCACTGCCTCTCTCCAATACAGCAGACCCCAACTCAGCTTTACTCCAAAGCAAATGCCAGGCAACTTCCAGCATTCGCAGAATGTTTTTCCTCCTTAATGCCAAGTAAGTGTCGGGGCAGAAGGGATCACTACTGCCTGGGCTGGAAAAGCCATATTCCCAAAATGCAAGGCAAAGAAAGGCAAGTTTCAGCTCTACCTCAGCATCTACAATACCCAGGTGCATCCTTACCTCACCTACACACAACAGAGCGCCACAAAGTGGAACACATTTCCATCTATTTGGAATTGCTGTCAAGGAGCTCACATCCTGCACTCACATGCTGTTCAAACCCAACATTTCAACTTCAGGCTGATGGGTCTTAAATGCGTGGGTATGGAAGGAAGTTAAAGCAAGTGTTCAGAACAGCTAACTTGGTAAGGGGCAGAAAACCCCATCCAGGAGCCTCCGAGCTCCACTACTGGGGAATTCAGTGAGGACTTCACACTAGCTCGTGCGTATGAAGAATAAGCAGTTTTAGCACAACTATGATTTTTTGCCAGTATAATAGAAACTGTGTGGAAGAGCTGAGGAAGCTCCACACCCCTGTTTCACAGAAAGGGAGGCTGATAAAAAGCAGTGACAAGACCAGCACATTCAGTCACAGCTGCAGGATGGAACTGAATCCCAAGCAGCTCTCATTCCAAACTGGACATCCCTGTGCAGCCAAACGCACCACGGCAGCACAGACCTGAAAGCTACTGAACTGTTCAGAGAAGCTGAGAGTCTCTCCTCTTCCATCTCCAGTGAAAGAAGCCCCACAACAAGCAATACATGCTTTTATTTCACATCCTGCCTAACGGACTGAATATCTAGAGGGAATTGAGACAACCAACCGCTGACGGTTGTGCTTAAGGGAGCTGTAACATGAATACATCACCAAGTGAAACAGAAAACCCTCAAGAAGGAATAAAGTGAAGGTCTGAAGCAACAACCGGAGTCCTGACTGTCGCTGTGTTTGACCAAAACACCCTAAACCCCTCCCAGAGACCCCGGGGTGAGAGGCAGACCACAGCACTTCACACAGCCCAAATACCTCCCTCCCTCTATCTCACAGCAGTGGTAGGTCCGTGTCCTCTCGCCTAACGTGACCCCTGCTATCTGCAGGCAGCCCCACAACGCGCCTGCTTTCACTATTAATACACTTTGAGTTTCAGATATCACACATAAAACACAGGTAAGTTACTCACTTCAGAATATTCAAGCCAGTCATAAGCCAGAAGTGAAATGCAAACATCAATCCTTCTGTGTCAGTATTTTCCAGGGTAACGCTGGCAGCCAGGAATGGACACGACCTGCTGGCTCCTGAGAATTCTAAGGGACATGTGGGATAACCATTACAGCTGCAGGTAGCTCTTCAAAGACTTAAACTAAGCCCCCGCTTTGCCCTTTAGTTTGCCCATTAAACTGAGCACATAGGAGCAAGGAAACCCCCTGCGAGTGCTTTTTACCAATTATGGGGAGTTTGGAGACTGGGGCTGCCAGTAAAACCAGCAAGGACATGAAGGGGAAAATGCCCTGCGAAAGGTTGAGCTGTTTCTGAAGGAAATCTGCTCTGGAAGCAAGCAGCAGCAGTCTGGATGGGGCGTTATCCTGCTGCTGCGCTGCTGGGAGGACAGGAAACTTTGCTGAGAAACTTCAAAAACACATATCTGAACAAAAAAAAACCCACCCAAGTGGACAGCAAAGACAAAAAGAACACGTTCGACCTCGCAGCAACACAACACGTTAGCAGAGGAAAAGCAGACTATTCAACAGCAAATCACAGACCTTTCAAACACGAGGCATTCCGCCTTTCCACGGAGGACTGCTTGGGGAAGGGGGTGCTGCTAAACTGGTTTTCCTTTGAGCACTTCCACTTATTAAGGAGGAAAAAAAAACCCTCTTGCGAAGAACCTCTCCACTGTTGTACAACTGTCCCAGAAAACAAAGACCATGGGGAGAAAGTGGCCCACTTTCCAAGAACCCCGTGTACGGGTCATGTTTTCAGCAGCTCGATCCTACACGCTCGAGGATGAAGCAGCATTTAAAGCCTATGAATAAACACCTCAAGGGTGACGTATCAGAACCCCCATTTTTTGGTACCACACTCAAATTGACTCAATTACATCAAACGGTCATAACACAGATATGAAAGCAACTGTGAGAGAAGTTTAGCTGTGAGTGAGTTTCCCCCTCCTGGACAGGCTGCATCAAAACCAAACGACCAGTTTTCTGTTTCAGTTACAGTTATCCCACCAGCGTAGCAAAACACGGACTATTTGCCAGGCACATCCATTTGGGAGCTGCCCTAAACACTGTTTTGTAGCTGTGCCCCTAGCCCATGGGGCAGGCTCCTGTTCCCAGCCCTCGTCAGCCCCCCAAAAGCACCTTACGGCGCTCATTCCTCCCCACATATTGAAAATATTGTGGCTAATAACACACACTCCACCCATTTTCTTTTTCCATCACTAAAGGATTTCAAAACCTAAAACTCGACAAACAGCGAGAGAAGCTGAACGGAGTTTAGAAAGGGAAAGGCAAATCCTACTGGCAATTACAAGATGCTATAAGAACATACAATGTTTAAGCAAGGTATTGCTAGAAGAGTGTTTCGTTCCCTGCAAGCTGCTTCCTTAAAATTACAGTTCTCTCCCTCTTGGATAATGCAGCTTTTCCCTTTAATTCCCCCCCCCCCCGAACAAATAGAAGAAAAGAAAGAAAGAAGACTCCCTTTCCTTGTGGAGACCCCACATTTCATGCATTAGTCGCAGGGCTGCTCTTTGCACACTGAGAACCTACACCTGTAATAAAATACTTGATGGAGTTCAAGAACCGAGACCTAGATCCGTACGCCAGCCCCTAAATGCTACACGCGATGCGAAAGGATGCAATTAAAATGCAGGCAGGAACTTTGGTACAGGTGTCTGCACCAGCACTGTTTGCTAAACACGTCTCTAATTAGCATGGCTTTAAACAATGCTGATAATAATCCGGTCCTGGCAGGCTTGCAAATGAATCACTGGGATTGCAAAATGAAAAGCATGAGGAATTCATTAAAGAGCGGTTCAAACTCTCCTTTGTTTATCTTCCCCCTGTCAGGTGTAAAGGATAAATAAACCTGGGATTCTCTCCCTGGATTGCATCCCAGCGCTCAGCTCCACAATACCGCGCTGCTCGAGAACCTCCTCAGGAGGTACCAACGCCGCTTCGTTCCCCCCATCTCCCCTGCACACACACCCCGCTTCCAAAAGAGACATCCTCCCGCTGGTCCAGTCCCGCAAAGCTGCTCCGTTCTCCGTTGTCATCGGGGATTGAGTTATCAGACACTACTTGTATGACTTTGGGAACTGACACGTCTATTTAGAGACACAAAGGCAATCCGGCAGCACAACCCCGGCTTCTTACCAGCACCTTTCCTTCCAAATTTAACCACCGCTTTCCTCCTGGGGAAGGAAGGGAGGGAGGGGGGGGAACGGGGACACGACACCTCCGTCGTTGCCCAGCATGACAGCAAACATTTCCAGCCACTTTTGCACTTGTTACAGCCCGATGAAAACCCACCTTCATCCTCCAACCCCCCCGCGAAGGAGCAGCGCTGTTTTTCCACGGGGTTTGTTTTTCCTGTCGTTGTTTAGTGGGGTTTGGTGGGGTTATTTTCCCCGTCTAAAAGAGGGTCACTTCCCCCATTTCAGCCTGCAATTAAAATGGAGGCAAGGCCAGGCGATCTATGCCTGGCTTTAGGGGGAGACAATAACCCAAAACAGGCCTGGCTTAAGGAAAGAAAAAAAGAAGGGAAAAAAGAAGGAGAGAGGATAGGAAAAGGAGCAAGAGGCAGAAAAAGAGCGAAATACAACATGCTTCACCACGATTATTACCTCATCCCTTTATCCCAAGCAGTTTGGAACCACGCTCCTGACAAACTCTTGGTCCAACTTGCACGGATGCTGGGTTTTTTTTTGGGGGGGGGGGGAAAGGGTTTGAATGCTGGAGCCGGGATTGAGGCTTGGCTATTCGCAAGTGGAGCTGCTGTTAAAATGCCCCCTTGTCTCTGCTCCTCTCCCTTGAGCTGGGTGTTGACGCAGCAGAAATTACCAGCTGGAAAATTCCCCTTTTGGAGGTTACGGGGAGGGGAGGGTTGGGGGGGGCGGAGAAGGGGAGGGGAGGGCCGGGGGAGGGGGGTTAAACCCTGCCACTTACCAAGTTAAGCCATCCACCCCACACCAAATAAGCCATCGCGTCCCAAAGAAGGCACCGTGCCCCCTTCCGTAGGCACGGAGCGACCGGCCCCCCCCCGCCCCGGGGCGGGTTGTGCCCGCGGAGGGCTTGGGGCTGGCTGGGTGGGCAGGGGGCGATGGTAGCGGTGAGCACAAGCGGAAAGGAGAAGGAGGACGGAGGTGGAGGTGGTGGTGGTGGTGGGGGCTGTGTGGCAAAGCGCTGCCCGCCTCGCCTCGCCTCAGGGGGATGGGGGCGGCCCGGTGGCCATGGCGACCCCCGGCTCGCCTCAGGGGGGCGAGGGGCGGGAAGAGGCGGGGGGGGGGGGCAGTGTGTGTGGGGGGGGCAGCGCGCTTACCTGAGCCCCATGGAGGAGAGCGCGGTGCGGGAGCGGCCGGAGCTTGTGGCTCCGTCGGTCACTCCGTGCCTCTCCTCGGGGTGGGGAGGGGAAGGGGAAAGGGGGAGGAGGGCGGAGGAGGTGGGGATGGGGGGGGGGGAAGGAGCCGGTAGAAGGGGGGGGCCCGGGCGCGCTCCCGTCGCTCCCTCGGGCGCGCGGGGCGCGAACCCGCGACGGGGGGGGGAACACGGGGGGGGGGACGAGGGGGGGGGGGGGAGGAGGTGCCGCGCGGCGCGTGCCGGCGCCTCCGCCCCGCCCCTTCTCCCACACTGGCGAGCGCTGATTGGTCAGAGGCTCGCACGGGCTTTCGTTAAGCCCCGCCCGTTGCTCCGCCCCCCCCCCTTGCCCCGCCCCTTGCGCCGGGGGAGCGGGGGGCGCCGCCGGCGGCGCTGCCACTGCCGGACACCGGAAGTGAAGGGTGGGCTGGGGGCGCGCGCACGGGCTCGGCCGCGCGGGGCATGATGGGACGGCTCCGTGACAGCGCTGAGGCGGCCGAGGACCCGGACCTGATCCCGATCCCGATCCCGATCCCGGTCCCGGTCCCGGTCCCGATCCGTGGCCCGAGGAAGGAGGCACCGCGGTTGTGTCCCCTTCAGCGGGTGCGTCCGCTCCGGCTCCGCCGTGAGGGGCGGCCGGGATGAGGGGCAGCGGTTTGCTCCCCACAGGAGCCTGTGCCCGCGCCGAGCTGCGTCCTCCTGAGCAGTTTATAGGCGAGGGGGGGGGGAAAATCACTTTATAAAGAAATAAGAGACCGTAGTGATGCATAGGAACACGAGATCTGCAGCCCGGCAGACTTCAGAGCCCGTTAAACGGGGCGCTGGCCTGGCTTGACGGCTGCAGGTGTGGAGAATGAGGGTCTGCAGGATGGAGATCAGAGCCCCCCCCCCGCCTGTCAGATCCAGGAATGGAAACCCTCTTGTCGCAGCAAAGGGCAGGATCCTGCCCTTTCGGCTGCTGCGCTGGAGGATCCGACACAACCTGCCCTATATTTCAAAGGACGGAGCTTAACAGCACAGGATAGGTCTGGAGCGGGGAGGAAGCTGATGCCAACCCTGCGATGGCTGTGGCGAGCAAGGGAACCGCTCCTGGGTCCCTGCGTTGGGAAAGCAGGAGCTGGTCCAGCAGCTGAAACGTTTGCAACCTGTGCATCAGTATCCGCGTGCTGGGATCGTGCCCCAAAGTGGGGAAACCCTCGTGGCTTGGGCATTTGTTTGCCTGGTTAACCAGCTTAGGTGGGTAATCACGGGTAATTGTGTGCCTAAGGCTTGGAAATGTCCTCCCGGGTTTCCTTCTCCCCCCCCCCCACTCCGTCCTATAGATCTGCTTCATCTCTGGCTTTTAAGTAGGGAGACCTACTGCTGAAACCTCGGAGTTGATTTTATGCCTGTTCTTTATTCAAATCCTCCTCTACAAGGTGCTTTTAATCGCCAGGACGTCCCTTCACAACAACAAAAAAAGATTATTTTCCACTTTTCAATCTGTGGTTTAAATAAACAGATGTTGTGTGTGTGGTGTTTTCCACCCCCCATTTCCTCCCACACCCCCTTCAGTTTTGAAAAGCCCATGAATGAACCTGATTAATGACAATGAAATGTCTTTTAACTCCAGCGTGGTTTTAATTACCTCTTTATTTTCTATTGCAACAGAGTCCAAGCAGCACCTTCCTAGAAAGAGTTCCATTAAAATGCAAATGAAGGCTCTGCAGAAACTGTCTCTCAATGCAACGAAGGACTCCGTTTCTTACACTTAAGCAACTCGCTGCCAGGCGGGTGTCCCGCTGCCTCCTGCTCCTCCTGCACATGCAATCCTCTGCCTTCCCCTCCCCATGCGTGTGTTTTCCAGTCCCTGTCACCTGCAGGTGAAAAGCACCGGAGCTGAAAAGCCACAATCCCTTTTTCCACCCTCAATGCTCAAGTGTTTCACGTGAACCTCTTCCACCCCCCCAGCGCCTGCAGGTGCTAAATCCTTCTGTTGTGTAAATTGGTTAAGTTTAAGCTTTGAGTTGGTCTTATTTTTTAGGCTCTGGGTTGAAATGTGAAGGTTTGAGGGGCTGGTTGAAGGTGGAGCTGTATCTTTATGCAACCATATACTTCTTTTGCACAAAATCTATACCGTACGTGGTCACAGCTATAAGCACTCCTGCTTATCCTCGCTCCTCCCTGCTTGAGAGCGAGCTTCCCGTTATCCCGAGGCTGCTCCGGTTCAGTGTGTACGTTCCCTTCCTCTCCTCCCACCCAGGGTTGCTTCCTCAGGTCTTTGTTGGCAGCAAGTATTTATTTATGTAGTATTTCTTTGCGTGTGGGGCTGGGCTGAGGCCCCGGAGCAGCAGCAGCTGCAGCCTGGGCACTGCCCTGGGGAGCGTGTTCCAAGAGGGGGAGGCTGGCTGAGGGCCGAGCTTCCCAAAGCTGCTCCACACAAAGGATTTCGGGAGGCTTGGGAAGCTTTAATATCTAATATACCCACACCCCTTCCTCCTTTAATTAGAAGTTTGTGTCTTATTTTAGGTAGAGACTGCAAGTGCTCCGCCGGTCCTCAGAAGAGAGGTGGTTTCTCCTCAGAAAGAAGGAAAGAACGTGCAAGGGGTAAAAAGAACAGGAAGAAAAGAGCTGGAGGAGAAATCAGGCTTGTTCATGAGATTTTTGGTGTGCAAAGTGTCACGAACGAGGTGAACAAAGGAGAGGTCAAGAGCACAAATGCACCTCTGTGAGATTAAAGACTGTTTCTGGCTCAGATCAATGTCCTCTGCACACCACCACGTCACAGGTTTCATTGAGGAGGAGACCACTGGAGGTCTGGGCTTTAATCGTATTTAGCCACTGGGAAAACAGGTAAATTGCATAATCCTGTAGCATAGGAGTGCTTGGAATCACCCCATGTTGCGGTGAGGTAGGAACGGACTGGGGACAAGCAGTAGAGGAAAGCTGCCTCCATACCACATCCCATCTGCAAAACCATCAGCAATGCTGAAGTGTTCTCATCCCAGCTCCCTCTTCAGCTCTGCTCCACCTTGCATTCATCGTGCTTGTAGGAGATGTTATATCTGATAAATTAAAATGATTTCTTGTGTGTCCTTGCCACGTGGTCCGTTTGGAAGCACGCTAAGAAAATCCTAATGACCCGATTACTCTGGGTTGGTTATTTTCCCCTACAAGTTTTGTACTCTGAACTAGAGATGCACAGAAAATCCTGAGGGATCTCTGATCTGTGAGCTCTGCTGACAGCAATCCCCACTTTGTTCCCATGTTTCATACATGGTAGACATGTGTTTCCATCACCAAAGGCTGTTCTTCCCGAAGTGCAGCGGGAAGGAAGCTGGTTTGCTCCTGCACCTCACAGCAGCTCTGCATCCCTTGGAAATCCTTGGACCACCAGCTTTGCCAGCTTCACTGAGAGCATCCTGCTGATGGTGGAGGAAAGGGTTAAAGGACCCACATTCCTGTCCCTAAGGCTCTGATCAAAGGTCAGGGGTCTTTAGGTGAAGGAAGGGAGGGAGGTGGTGGCAGCCCTGACCAGGTCACTTGAGGAGTAAACCACAGCTGAGGGGAGCTAATGAAGCAGTGTTTGTCTCTCTCACAGCACATACTCCCGGGCAAGTCAGAATTCCTTCTCTAGTGGGAGTGAAGATGTCGATTGTACTTTTTCCATGATGTGTATTGAGGCATTTGCTAGGTTGTGGGAGTAAACACTTGGGGGAATTCTCCATCAGCTCAGCAAGGGCAAGTCACAAGCCTACTAAATATGGTGAATGAAGATTACAAAAGAAGCCCTGGAGAATCAACCTCCCTCTTCCCACCCCGGCTCCCCACCACCACCACCGCTACCCCTGCACGGTTTTCCTCATTATCTTGTGCTGCTGCTTCACTGCTTCCCGGCTAAATCCATGTCCATTTGTGTGACTGAACACACTGTGCTGCTTTAGGTTTGTGTTCCAGCCCAAAGGGCAGCGCTGGGGTGGTCCTTCTCTAGCAGAGACACCCTGCACCATCCTGCTGCAGAAAGCAGAGACACCAGCTATTCACCGAGGGAGGGGAACAGCAGGAAATGCTCCCAGGTCTGTAAATACTTGAGGGGGTGAGAGATGATGTTCATGGACAAAATATTTGACCAGCCGCATCCCACTGACCTCCTTCGGTGCTGCTCTTGAAAGGGATTGGCCGGAGACTGAAACAGTTGATCTTTAATGCTCCAAAAATACATTCCCTTTCAAAGCCTCTCAAGTGGAGGAGCAGCCAGGCTGCCAAACTCCAGCCCCACTCCCATCTCCTCGTGGCTCAGCTCCGGGGTGTTGGTTGAGGTTCACCCAAGGGTGTAGAGGAGGGTAAGGCTGAAAGGTGCTGGGGCCATGGGATGAGGGGGGCAGGAGAGCAGCAAGCTCTGTCTCCAGCCCTCCTCCTGCCTGCTCCATCCCTGTTGTGCTGCCCTGGCTCTGTCCAGTCTTTCTCTTGCTCCCTTCCCTGCCAAACTCCGGTCCCCCACTGGGAGCCTCGAGCCAACCTGGGGCCCCTTTGGTTCCCACCCAGAAGCCAGGGATCATTTCGGTGCTGATTCAAGCTCAAGCACATCACTGCACTGCACAACATCACCCTCCTCCTGCCGTTAGATGACCTCTGCTTCCCTTTGCCTGAGCGTGGGCTCAGCCTGGGGTTGCTTTCTGCTGTGTTTCATGTTGTGGTGCTCTGGTTCTTCACCCTGTTAGCAGGTTTCCTCCACCACTGCACATTTCAGACTGTTCTCTGTATCCGGAGCTCCTTTCACAGCTCCTGACTTGCATTCACCACTGTGCATCTGGGAAGAACCAGGGCCTGGGCCATGCTCTTTCCTGAGACCCACAGCACAACATTGCATGTTTAGAACAGGGTTTGATCCTTCCTCCTCTGGTATCACCATCCTTCACACCTGCAACTGCCCAGGGGCTCACACCAGCCCTTATGGAAAGCAGCAAACCCATTTCTCTTTCCAGTACACACAGAGAGGGACAATCCCAAGGTGCCAGCATCCTTCACACTCTGATTTGGCTCTCAGTTAAGCTCAACCCTTTTTGCTACAGCACTTCAGAGAGATGTATCTGACTCCAATCCCTCTGCTTGCAAAGAGTCTGTTTCCTTCAGAACCCAAAGAAGGTGCTGGGCTGCATGTGGGTCCTGTTCCATGCAGCCTGGATGCACAGTGTGCATGGAAAAGGCAGAAGCAACAGTTAAATATATCTGAGTGCTGAAGGCTGGGAAGTGTGGTTTGGGGTTGAGTCAGGCAAGTGGTAGTTTCGAGGCTTAAATACAGTAAGGCAGGGTTTGCCCTCCCTTGTGTGGAGCTGCCACTGCAGAGAGCACGGTCCAGCCCTTTCTGGGTGAGTTAACCCCAGCTCCGTGCCCCTCGGCTGCAGAGGGATAAAAGTTGGGCTTCAGTTTGCTCCTGCTTGGATGCTCCCTTTGGGTTTTACCTCCGGTGTTCTGGATCTGCTCCCACACGCGGCAGTCCCTGGAGCTGAGCTGCAGTGGGGACAGCAGCAGATCCAGCCCTTGCTTCCCATTCCAAAATAACAACAGGGAAAAGGAGGAGGGCCCTGGCAAAACAGTCACAAAACGCCCTGAAGTGAATCAGAGCCGCTTTGCACCGTATTTGTATTTATATCAAGTTCCTGGTCACAGGGAGGGATGAGGCTGTCCATGGACTGGTTTCTGTTGGGAGCTGTTCAAAGGCAGTTAATAGCATTTAGCACCCCAAGACACCCCGTGAGCAGCAGGGCTGACACCCGCTTCCTATGGGCCTGGGAGCTGCTGGGAGCACGCATGCGGTGGGCAGCATCTTCCTGCTGCGATGCCCACCTCCAACCTCTCCTCCCACCCTTCCCAATGGGAAAATCATAGAATCTTTGGGGTTGGAAAGGACCTGAAGATCATCCAGTTCCAACCCCCTGCCATGGGCAGGGACACCTCACACTAAACCATGGCACCCAAGGCCTTGTCCAACCTGGCCTTGAACACTGCCAGGGATGGAGCATTCACAACCTCCCTGGGCAACCCATTCCAGTGCCTCAGCACCCTCACAGGAAAGAATTTCCTCCTTAGATCCAACCTCAAATAGCCCATTTAAGAGCAAGACGGTTTAAATGGCACTTGTGTGGTGATGGGTGTCCATCGTGAGCACTTCGTGGTGCTCCCCGTGCTCTCCCCTGTGCTTCTCCTGGCTGATGGCACCTGCAGCTGCAACCCGGGTGCTTCCCAGCCCTGGGAAGAGCTCGGCCGCCGTTCCCAGCCCTTGGCTCCCGCAGGATTTCCTCTCTGGGCAGAGCCGGGGTCAGCAGGGAGCGGTCCCGCAGCCCCCAGCCCTCGCCCTGCTGCAGGAAGCGCTCTGGGAGCACGGGCTGGGGTGGGGAAGGGTTGGAGGAGGAAAACGGGGAGTCCCGGGGGGAGCCGCCAGATAAAGCCGGGCTGGGAATGCCGGGCGGATGCGGCTCGGACCTGCGGCTGGCTCACTTCCCTCGGGCCGCCCGGCCGGAGCCGCTAGGGGAGCCCAGGGAGGGAGCTCCAGCACCTGAGCAGGGGCCCTTGGCTCCGGCTGCACCTGGCAAACAGCGGAAAATCCCACCTGGAGCCGGCCCTTGGGAAGAGGTTTCCTCTTCCTCTGGTGAGGCAGAGCAGGGGCAGAGCCCAGCATCACCCCGTGGCCAAGGGCAGCGGGGTACCAGGGGGATATGGGTTCAGGGGGTGCAGTGTGCCCAGGGCACCCGCAGGGATGGATCCAGCCTCCCCTCTGCTCGCCTTCATAGAATCATAGAACAGTTCGGGGTGGAAAGGACCTGAAGATCATCCAGTTCCAACCCCCTGCCATGGCCAGGGACACCTCACACTAAACCATGGCACCCAAGGCCTCGTCCAACCTGGCCTTGAACACTGCCAGGGATGGAGCATTCACAACCTCCCTGGGCAACCCATTCCAGTGCCTCACCACCCTCACAGGAAAGAATTTCCTCCTTAGATCCAATCTAAACTTCCCCTGTTTCAGTTTGAACCCGTTACTCCTTGTCCTGTCACTACAGTCCCTAATGAAGAGTCCCTCCCCAGCATCCCTATAGGCCCCCTTCAGACACTGGAAGCTGCTCTGAGGTCTCCACGCAGCCTTCTCTTCTCCAGGCTGAACAGCCCCAACTTCCTCAGCCTGTCTCCATACAGGAGGTGCTCCAGTCCCTGAGCATCCTCGTGGCCTCCTCTGCACTTGTTCCAACAGTTCCATGTCCTTTTTATGCTGAGGACACCAGAACTGCACACAATGCTCCAGGTGAGGTCTCACCAGAGCAGAGCAGAGGGGCAGGATCACCTCCTTCGCCCTGCTGGTCACGCTGCTTTGGATGCAGCCCAGGACAGGGTTGGTTTCTGGGCTGTGAGCGCACACTGAAGCCGGCTCATGTTCATTTTCTCATTCACCAGCACCCCCAAGTCCTTCATGCCTTGTGTGTGCTGGTGCTGGAGCCCTCTCACCCGGCCATCGTGTGCGACCTGATTTCAGCCATCAGGAAACAGCCACTGCATGAGCCCCGAAGGCCATCGCGGCAGAGCTGTGCCATTTGGGAATGCTCCCAAGCAGAGGCAGAAACGTGGCTTTTCCCAAAGCCTGGAAAACCCCTGTTCTCTGGGGAGTGCCACGGAGATGCAGGCAAAGAAGACAAATGCCTTCTTTATTTCCTTTCCCCCTGGATTTAGTCATTCCGACCCCCTCCAGAAGCATCCGTGCTGCCTTCCCAGCTCTTTCCTAAACCAAACCCGCTGCTTTCATTATTCCTCTGGGAATTAGTCCCCTGTAACCCGTTATCTGCTCCCTGCAATGCCGCACTGACCCTGAGCTTCAATTCCTGCCCTTGACTGCGGGACCCCGCACCGGTTCGGGCAGCCCCGTGGCACCTCCCTCTGCACTCCTCAACCAGATCCCGCTCCAGCCTTGATATTCCATAAGAAAACAGCACCAGAGCTGCCAGTGTCACCTCCCATGAGCCTTCATCTCCAGCCTCCGAGGGGGTTTGGGGGCGATGGGAATGACGATACCCCAGGAGATGATGCTGCAGGTTACGCAGC